GCAGGGCCATGCTCCCTTTGGAGGCTTTCGGGGTAGAGTCCCTTGAATGTCTCTTCTAGTTTCTGACCACATCACTCCGATCTTCTAATATAATCTTTAAACCTCTCTGCTGTTTTTGATTCAGTTTCTCTTGTCTGTGCCCCGCTTCTCTCTTAAAAAGGATACATGTCATACCATTTCAGGCCCACCAGTTAATCTCGGATAAAACTCTCCATCTCAAGACACCCCTCTTCTTGGCCATATAATGTAACATAGATTGGAGGAATTACAACATAGGTACCTTTTTATAATTGGAAGCGGGGGCATTTTTTAGTCTACTATACAAGTGCATCAAAAAATCCTATTTTCTTTAGAACTCTTTAGAGCCATTACTTACGAATGAGTGCTGGATCACTTTATACTTGTGTATGTGGATAGATGATCAACTGGCTTCTTGTTTTTGCACAGGACTGAGGTTTAACCCAGGACCTCGGCTTGCTAGTTACGTGCTCCACCATTTGAGCCATGCCCCCTGCCTGATCACCAGCTTTTAAACATGACACCATTTCCCTCTCAAACCACTCACTGTACAATGTGGTACAGCACAATGAGCTTGGCATGGGTAAGGAGAAAACTACTTCAATATTAAAAGTATCTGTAAACCCAGAACTTGCATTAATTTATCTTTCCTTTAATTAGCATGTTGTTTACAATTCTATTAAAAACTGTCAGTGTGACTCTTAATCTGGAGTGCCCACACCTAGGTTAGTTGGATTCTACTCTGATAGTTTATCACCACCTCCACTAGTAGGCTGCTCTTCCCAACCTCTGCAAGGATTTAACTCTACAGTAAAATCTACATTTTAGTAGATTACTAAAATCTACATGTATCACCTTTTTAAAAAGTCTGCTTCCCTTTCCAAGTAAGATTCCTATACATTTCAGAATGTCTGGAATTTCCCAGGCATATCATAAAAGAACTGGAGAAGACTTCAAAAAATTTCAAGTGCTACTTAAAAAAAAGAAAATTAAAACTCTCCATTGTATTAACAGTAGCTCTTCAAATACTTAAAGACAGTTATGTGTTGCCAAAACCAACCCAACAACTAGGAGCCAACCTGCCAAAAGCCAATTCAAGTCAAACCACATTTGGACTCTTACAGTAAGTCTGTCTGTTTGTGCAGTTACTACAAACAGTATTGACCCAGCGTGGTCAAAAAATAATAAATACAAAACAAAATTTCAAATGCCTTTGCACATTGCAGCCCAGTTGATGTGGAGAAGCTGCCAGTCCTGCATTGTCAGTTGTGTTTAAACTGTGTAATCTGCTGGGTGTTTCCCTTAATTCTCTGATAATATGCCTCCCAAAAAGCAAATGGTACCCCAAAGCAAGGTAAAAGTTAATGTGCTTACTTTAGGTGACACAAAGTGAAAATGTGAGATTTGTTCAACAGAAGCATGTCTGGTGGAAGGACAGGGTTGTGAGAAAAATGAATTAAGCACCTGGAACTGTGTGAGTATTCTCAGGTTTTCCTAAATGGTGGTCTCTCCATGGATACCAAGGGCCTATCTGATGTGTATCAGTTAATACTTCTTTTGTCTTCTTAAGAAAAGACAAACCAAATATCTTGACATACAATTTGGGAATGAAATAAGCAAACACTACCTATGTACTGGAGCAGTTAACTGATTTTCATACATGAGTGAGCCCAAGTGTATAAACTTAACACATTCCTTGACCCAATCTTCAAACTTTTGTCACAAGTACCTACTTAAAAGTGTGTAAAAAGCATGGCTTAAATTTACTTTCCTTAGTAATTATTTTTATGTGATCATAAAAGTAATGTACATTACTTGTAGAACATGTACTAATTGGTGAACAGTATAAAGTCAGAGATACTGTTCATAGTACTCTGGCTTATTTTTCTGTCTTAAATGTGCAAATAACTTTTTTTTTTAATGAGTTTTGTATTTGGCTATTTTCTATTTTGCATTTCCCCTGTATTAATGTAATATTTTGTGACTACAGAAAATAAATCTACTCCTCCATTATCATCATTTACCTAATAACCTGGACAATTTTCACTATTTTAAGTAGTCTGCTTTTATGATTCAGTATCATTAGATAAATTCTAGAAGCAGGGATAATTTAAGGTTAACGACACTTCCTGATTCACCGTTACTCTCATCTCAGTTTCCAGGATCATATAAAAATTCTCCTCACACTATATCCTTGCCAAAACAGGTTTTTTTCCAGGGAGGAGGGGAACCCAAGACTTTCTAATTTGGGATTTGATATTAAAGAGAAAACAGAAAGAAGGGGCATTGTGTAAATAATCTCTTTTTTGTCTGTCTTGTTTTTAATGAGGAACCTGGTCCCTCAACAGAGTTGCAATACACTTTTTCACAATTATAATATTTACCGCCTCCCTTCTCCTGAGGTACTTTCTCTAACTTGCTTTCAAAATCTTATTTCAGCCTGTATACAAACTTCTCAGCACTTCAGGCTGACCTATAACTACTTTTATCACTACTGACTGACTTTATAACGACCACCAATACTAGTCTTCCCATTATCCCAAAAGATTCCATTCCAGATGCTTTGCCTGTATTTACTCTACTTTCCAAATGTCTTTGCCCTGCTTCATTTCCTCACCCTCTCATCTGCCTTCCACCTCAGTTTCTAACTTCCACTAAGGCCTAGCTTAAGGGTCGCCTCTTCCAAGAGGGTTTCTCCGGCCACTCCAGGGAATCAAGGTCAATTATCTGACCCATTCATACCACTTACTAAATAATCCTATATTACTAATTTTTCTTGGAAATGGCCTCGTCTCTACAATAAATTATTTAGAAGACTTAATGCTTTGTCTATTTTCCCACCAAACTATTTTTATCAATATAGATTTTAGCCATTTGTCCTCTTCCCTCATTTTCTAGAAGCTGGAATGCTTCTCATTCTTCTTGTGAGATACAGCCTATGGAACAATGAGCCATTCTCATTTCTAGTGCATTCATTATGTCACGAAGCAAGCACAACTGCTGGTTCACCCAAACTACCTACCACTACTGATTAAAAATAATCCTCCCATGTCCACAACACACTCTCCCTTCCTTTCACATATACCTCGTATTTCAATGCAAATTTCAACATATTTTACATCTTATTTCCCAATAAACACATGTAAAACCTGAGAGGAAGGAGAGGAAAAAGGATTATAAAAATGAAAGAAATACATCATTTTATTAAAAAAAAGTCTCTTCCTTCACGAATGACATTGCACTTTCCCTGCCAGCGTGACTACCAATAAAACCAAATATAATTTTCCCCATCATCAACAATTTCTTATACTCCCAACTTTACTCAACACTGTAATCAAATGAGCTAAGTACGACCAAACTTCTGACAACTTTTCTAAAATTCAAGACTCTTTTTTACCTAAGGTCTCTTTCACAGCACTCTATAGACAACATATTATCAGAATAGTGTTACCTCCTGCAGCCTATCTGCTCAAATCTGAATTTGTGCACTTCAGAGCAGTGCTAGCGCTAAGTGTAGCCTATAGACCAGTGACAGTCTGCAAACTGTAATCAATCCACAAATAGAAGCCAAGAGTATTTTAAGAAGGCTTTGTAGCAATCTGACCTCATTTTCCTAGTAATTCATCTGACTGCACTTTGCAAAAGCAGAGGCCTGAGAGAAACTGGTATTAAAAAAAAACCAAAACTGGTCATTTACTGTTACTTGAGAACTATTCCCGCAAAATATGATTAACAATCTTTTCCCAGTAGAAGTACACAGGCTCTATTTTATTGTTCTTGTGGGTAAACAGGAAAGCAGTTGCAAGGAAGTCAAACTATCCTTATCCACCCCAGGATCAGAATGGACCAAGATTTTGGTAGGGTATACCAAGGTAAGGAGTTTTCAAGTCAACCCAAACCAAACCTACCACAGCTAACCAGTCTCTTTATCTTATCCTAAAAGGAATTTTAGTTCCTCGACTTGCTTGGTGATTTTGCTTTCACATCTTAACATTAATTGTATTTTTCTTCTCTTCTGAAATGTCCATGCCTCACAAACCAGACTGTGTTTACTCTCCAAAGCTCAATCTTAAGAACTCAAACTTCATACTTTCCTTCTTACTTCCTCCTACCTGCAGTAAGATTCTCTCCTATATGGAATCACATATTCCTAAGCATGTAGTGATATATTTTATAATGATATATACATCTCATATTCATGTTGATTTTACTCTATCTACCTAAGCAGAGCAGATTTTAAGGTCACTGGGAAAGCAGGATTAAGGCCTTCTAATACAGATTTCCTTATGGGTTTCATATTAACAGGACAGTTATGTTTACCAGGAATCCTCTATACTATACTACTTGACTATGCGATTTCCAGTATTGCCTATTACCTGGGGCACATGACCTTTAAAAAAAAAAAAACATGTTCTAGAACCAACTGGCCCGTGTTAACTGTTCATGTTCTTATGAACTAAAAATTATTTATGATCCTTTCTCAACCCTACTCTCAATGGGACCCACTGTTAGATACTGTGAGACCATTTGTTTGGGTACATTTACAAACACAGCTACAGGGGGAAAAAAAAAGAAAGAAGTGGAATTTACAACTTGCCTCCTCACCACCCTCCACCCAGACCTTTCTTTGGCTTCATCATTGTCAACATTCTAGACAACTCTCTAAAACTCAGAGTCCCTTCTGGGCTGTGCCTTCATTACTAGGCACTAAATACCAGTAACCATAGCCACCAAACTTCCTTCTTTTTGGATTTCTATTCTTATTTTTAAGTAGTCACCTTCACAGAGAAAGTTTTTCTCTGTGAAGAATACCTGTGTTCTTTTGTGTTTAAGTATTTCTATCCACAGTCTTTCTTATGCTGTATTTTTTATGACAATTTAAAAATTGCTCTGTATCACTTTTTACACCTCTCTTTATCAATCAATCACTTAAATCTACATTTCTGGTTAGATTATGAACTAGGAACAGGAAATAAGATTTATTACTCTGATATACTTGCTTAAATACATAAAATCTACTTAATTTGTATAGTGACTGGTAACAAGGCAACAAATGCAAAGTGCAATGGGCGGTTTAAATAACTCTAAGTTGTTTTTTAGGCATAGAAGAAATGTGATTGAAGCTGTGATAGGAAAAACTGGGGATAGGCAACAGTACATTTTCCCCAGGAAACCTGTTTTAAACCACCACAATTCTGGAACCATCTCCAGATCACAGATAAAAATCTAGTCAACTCTTCCTACTCTAGCTTCAAACTCAAAGCCCTGAAAAAGCACCCTGAGAATCTCGGCAAGTAACTTCAATTATAAAGTACAAAACTATTCCACAAAAATTTGGAATTAAAAAAAAAATTAAGCAAATGCAAAGAACTTCTTGCATGTTTTATACTTACCAGTTTGGCTTGTGCTTCTGCAATTTTTCGGTTATTCTCTTCTAGTATTCGCTCTAGCTCCTCACGCTTTGCACGTTCTTCCTCCTAAAGGGGAGGACAGGTTAAAATGTTAGAAAAATAAAATGTTTATTTTTATTGATAAATATTCACTAATCTTCCTCTGACCTTTTTTGATCTGACTTACAGGGTAGCTTTATAGCTACCTTCTGTCTGACAAATGATTAACTGCGCAGCCACTAAAATCGGTTTCTAGCACTAAATTTATATCATCCCTCCCAGTCCAAACAGCAACCGACTAAACCCTCCCTAATGATAGTTTCCTGACAATTATCACTAATACTTTAATATCACACAAATCAACAAGGACAACTACAAAACTGGATAGTATTTACCAAATTAAAAAATAATATATAAAATATAAATAAAGTGAATATTTGTCTCACCAATTATGTATACCTACGTATTCTTTACCTATACTCCTTTAATCAGCATTAAAAGTTGAATATTTACTGTCTTGTCCAGTGTCCTGCAGAGTGTGCTCCTCGGCTGCCATACGCGCCAGCTTCCTCTTTAAAATGATTTGTACTGTTAGCTTGGCAATACCTGCATCAGCAGCTCAACCATTTATAAAGAAACAACATACAAGGAAGGCTGAGCTGAGGAATGCAGATGTTTATGGTAAGAAGGAACAAAAAATGTAATTCATCATTCCTAAGGCAAACAATTAATAAGAAAAATACATTTACTGTTAGTGAAAAATACAAATGGTAATCCATACTTCATGGAGCTAAGGGCTTCTTCCATGGGGAAAATGGACTTAACATTCAGATGTTGACAATTTCTAAAAGGCAGCTTATATTGTCATCTACAGTCTGAACTGAAATTCAGGAATCCAGGGGATGCATAGTCAGGAAATAAAATTCTGTAATTTATTTTTTCTTGTATAATTTAATGAAATTTTATAATGCAAACTATAGGAAGACTGCTTGATGGTTTGGGCAGTGTTCAGATCACAGCATACATATTCAAATGATTTTAATATTTGGAAAGACTGTCAGAGGGTTGTGTCCGTGTTAAAAAAAAATGTTAATATGAAACAAAAAGCAAATGAAGAGAAAAAAATCTTACTATGATTAATAACTCGCTACAAGAAAGCACAATTACTCCAAAAGTATTTTCATTATTAAATGCACTGATATAAAAAATTTTATACATTCAGTTTTATAGTCTATGAAATCAGCTATAGATATAGACATGTATATTCAGTTAAAGACAGGACAAGAGAAAATACACTTTACAAGCTAACCTTACTAGAAAGCAGAGATTTATTACAACGTCAGCCTGTCCACAATAATGCCAAGATGAAAGATGACAATGAGTCATGTACTTTAAGGCACACACTTTAGTTCAAGAAAATATAACTACAGGACTTTATGTCACACCAACAGGATTCATACTCATTATACACACTATGTTGATGGGCACTCAGTGCTGTAAAGTAATTTGCCTTGAGTGTTTCAATGATTTTCACCAAGTTTTAGGATCCTGGAGTAATCAGTGCAAACAAGCCATAAAGCTTCAGTAGCAAATTACTGTCTCACAGAAAGACATTTTCAACTTCTGCGCCAGCTGCTGATAAAACAAATCATGTGTTTAGCTTGACTCCAGACAAGGACAACCTGTTCCTTCATAACTCTCTAGAGAAAAAAAGGAGTTGTTAGTAGATACTAAAAAAGTGGATGAATAATCTGGACATTTTTCCTAAAAAGATTTCTTGAAACACATTAGGAAAATGGAGGGCCTTATGATCAGAATGCTAGAATTAGTCCACTGTATTGAAACAGGATTTGGGGAGGGGGTGAGGGATAAAAGAAGGAAAAAAGAAGAGTAAGAAAACCTATTTATCAAAAGCAGGTGCTGTCACTCAATGTTAGGCCCTGCTCTTTGTAATCTGACTGAAGGCAAAAGCCTCTCACAGTCTAGTTAACAGAGTGATGAACAGAAAAGAATATACAACCACAGGTGGATTTTTAACCTTTTCCCTTTACCACTCCTTGTCTCCCCCAACCCTCCCAAAAAGAATGTAAGTCCTGCAGCCATGGCAAAAGTTTCAAACACTTCTCAAATATATAAGCCAGTTCTAGTAAATCAAAAAGTATCCTTGAGTAAGTTTTATGAAAGTAACTTTTCAATACCAGTCAGCACTTCTGAACAGGCTAAAAAATTAACTTTCGCAGCAATGCAAGTTTAGGTGAGAAAGGAATTAGATAGTCTGTATTCCATCTCTTTCTGAACTGAGCAGGAGGCACACCCGACACTGAAAGTTTTGCCATGGACTGTCTCTACTTTCCAAACGACCGAGCGTTACCTCTCTAGCTTTTTGTGCTGCAAGCTCAGCTTGTCTCTGTCGCTCGAGTTCTTCGAGCAACTGCTTTTCCATGATGCGTTTGGCTTCCTCCACCCTTCGGAGAACTTCTCGCTCAATTTCATCTTTCCTTTTCTCCAATTCTTCCTCTACCCTTTTTGCCACCAATTCTTCCACTCTTCGTGCTGTTTCTTCCTCGATGAGTTTTTCTTCTATCTCCTGCTGCCGACTAACAAACAAAGTGAAAAAACACCTTAAGATATTTAAAAAATCTTAAGAGTGAAAATAAAGCCAGCTGTAAGTCTATAAAATCACTGATTTTATTTATTACTTAATGGGTTCAGAATTCATTTACATGTCACATTTAAGGAAGCCATAGTTATTAAGAACTATTCCAGAAATTCAAATAAATATATTTTCCCTTCTCAAATTCTAAATATACAAAGAGCACAATTTATTAGTTTTAATTTCAGAACTGTGTCTCAAGGTTCAACCAAGAGTCAGAGAACTGTAATGTAGTAGTCACTTCAGACAGGCTGAATTTATTCCCCTTCCTCCTCAGAGACAGAGCAAAGTAATAGTACCGTGTAGCTCTTACTGAAAATACAGACCAGTTTATGTTCTGAACTTTTTATTTTCTACTGTACCTTTTCCTTCTGTGCTTACAAGTTCCTCTCAATAGGAAAATAGGTAAAAATAAGTCTTATTATCAAAGTTCAATGAGGTATAATACTACTGTATTAATACCATTCTGATATTTACTGAAAATAAAATTTTGAGCTAAAATACTGACATTTATCAGGGAAATCTTGCACATTTTACAGCACTGCCATGTGTCTATGAAGCTTAGTATAAAGAAAAGCATAGTGAGCTCATAAATACTTTTATTTGATTAGGTATTAAGTGATAATGTTTTGAACGGTCTGAGAATATAAAACTCTTCTGCTAGTTTTCTTTCTCGTGAGGCTACCTATAAATGTGAAGTTGCATACGTTGTTCCTATCGTATCTCCACTAAGCAGTACGCTGATACGATAATTTGTGTTGAACGAATATATTCAGAGCCTCTTACAGCGCATCTAAATCCAAAGATGTCAATTTATTAATGCTTCAAATTTTTCACAACCCACCAAATTAAATAAAATCTGCAACTCTTATCTTTTGACGATTCACATGAAATACACATGTATGAGAAAGTCACTCAACTGGGACATTCAGTAAAGACTTCCTAGTTTCTTTGTGGCCTTTAAACATCTCAATTCACTTCAATTCAATTCTGTCCCTGGTGTGACTCAATCCCCATGTAAGGGCTTTCATTCTCAACCCCTCTTCACAGTGACACCATACTAGTCCTATGCATCTCTAACAATCAAATTCATTTCAGTTTCTTCACTAGCCTCTACACCTTTCTACCAGATAGTAGGTACTAAAGAAAGTTTATTTTCCCACAAGGTCCTAGGTATTCAGAAGTACAAGACTCTTGTTTCTTTATTATCTCCTTCCCAAAACTAAAATTTTTTAAAAGGGTATGAAAGCCTAAGACTGACTAAGACTTCTTTCCCTTTTTAACTTCCAATCAAATACAGGATTAAGATAATTAAATACAAGTCTTTTATCTCTATTAACTTAGTAAAAGATGAAACAACCTCCACATTCAGTAATAAAAATGAATTCTCAAATAATCTAAGGAAATCAGACAGATTTCAATTAAATGGAAACTAGTGATTATTTCAACATAAAATGCTTTTCAGTTCATCCAAAGGGAAAAAGAATATATGAACTGTGGGCTGACAACTTCTTCAGAATATGGATAAGGATAACAAAACTTTGCTTCTGCATATGCAAACTTTTCATATTTGGTTTAAAAAATACACACACCACACTCTGTAAGTTGATTCTTTTGAAATCAGTAAACATACAGATGCCTAAAAAGAAACTTAATATTTAAAATTTCAAAAATGTAACCCAAAATTATTAGTGTTACATGGAATACATACCTACTCTTCAAAGGGAGGATAATGTAAAATAGTTTCAATTAAAACTTGCTACTCCAAAGTGAAAAGGAAGAAAATAGGATAAGACCCTAACACTGGCTCATCAGAAGAAAAGTTGGCAAAAATGAAAGAGACCTGCTACATATTCAGGTTTTTTGTCAGGCAATCAAGCCACCTGTAAGCAACAGCACAATGACTGAGAGGGCCACATTTTCACAGATTTGGTCAGTAAGGAGAAAATAAGCCAAATAAATTCGGCTTATTACTTACAGCAAAAGCCAAGCCAGCATGGCTGTCAGCTCCCTGTGGACTCTAATCCCACTGATCACACCAAGCCAGGGGGGCAGATAACAGGCAGTACAGGCGGGAGTCGGGATCAGGAGTCAGGTCTAACTACAGCTCAGAGGTTTTATAGCAAAGGGGATAGCAATGGAAGTAGTAGGGGATGAGAACTGTTCTACTGCAGTTTCTCACAAGGCTGCTTATCTCCCTTTGTTCCTAGAGGAAGCAGGGCATCCCACCAAGACTGCAATTAGCCTGGGGGTGTGTCCAAAGTGAAGGCAGGCAAGGGTCTGGGCGCCACAGAACTGTTCCCCACAAGTTACACAAGAATATAGTTTTGTTGTTGTTGTTATTGTTGGTAAGATTAAAAATGCTAAGAATCAATTTCTAGAACCAGTGTTTAAAAAGTTCAGTATAAACTTATCCCTTTTCTATATGCACTTAATGCAGAAAACCAATAGGCACACAACTGAATGAAGCTTGTGTTCATCTTCATTGCTGGCAAATTCATTAACATAATCACTGATAAAAGTGCTGGTAAGACAACTATCATAAGAGGAATGAGAACTTTCTTAAAGGGAGGAAAACCAAACCATTTTTGGTCACATGTATAATATTCAGTCCGGAGAACATTTGCTGCAGGAGTTACTACTCTCGGGTGTTTTCTCTCTCCAATCTTTGCCTCACAGTCCTCTCTCTGGCCTTGTTAATATCTGTGCTACTGATGAACAGGTTCCATTGAGATCTACAAATTTTTCACTGAGAATAGTATGACACCAGGTCCCTATTTTTCCATACTCTTAAGGCATTTTAAAAACACTAGCCATAACTTTAAAACAAAACAGGGAGGGCACAGTAGTTCAGCACTGCTAAATGTGACTATGACTTGATACAGAGCAACTGACACCATTATTTTAAGGTATCTTTAAAATGTATGAACTCAAATTGTTGAGACCTTTAGGAATTGCTTAATAATTATTAGGCAGTATTAATAGGCACCAAATACTGAGCTAAGAACTATATACAGCATGTCATTTTAAATTTCACAATTCTTCCTTTGAGGTAAGTATTTATACCCTCATTTTTAATGAGTAAGCTGAGTCTAAGAAGTTTATGTTTCTGTATTCAAGTTCAGTAGATGCTGCTAAGCTGTGACTATGAACCTTGGCAGAGTCCAAAGTACATACTACCTGGAGTATACTCTCTTTCCAGGACAAGTGCGAGAGTTATATGCACCAAATAGCTACAAAAATGACTAGTTAAAAAAAACGCATAAAAGGGAGGGAAGGGCAGGTGGTCCAAACAATGTATATACATGTGGGTAAATGCAAAATGATTTAAAAAAAAAAAAACGCATAAGGTTCTTATCAACTTTGGCTAGGTCCTTTGTGCTGTTGTCTAAAACCACTAACCCCCAAAAATACACAGCTCCACATATTAAATTTGTTCATAAAAGCTATTCCTTGCCCTAAAAATGGGCTCTAGGAGCTAGCTTGGACAAAGTTATACCTCATCTCAAAAACAAACACCCATACAAAACAAAACAAAACAAAAGGGCTTGGGCATAATTCAAGTGGTAGGACATTTGCCTAGCACATGGGATAAATGGGGGGGGGGGGGGGGGGGGGGGGGGGGGGGGGGGGGGGGGGGGGGGGGGGGGGGGGGGGGGGGGGGGGGGGGGGGGGGGGGGGGGGGGGGGGGGGGGGGGGGGGGGGGGGGGGGGGGGGGGGGGGGGGGGGGGGGGGGGGGGGGGGGGGGGGGGGGGGGGGGGGGGGGGGGGGGGGGGGGGGGGGGGGGGGGGGGGGGGGGGGGGGGGGGGGGGGGGGGGGGGGGGGGGGGGGGGGGGGGGGGGGGGGGGGGGGGGGGGGGGGGGGGGGGGGGGGGGGGGGGGGGGGGGGGGGGGGGGGGGGGGGGGGGGGGGGGGGGGGGGGGGGGGGGGGGGGGGGGGGGGGGGGGGGGGGGGGGGGGGGGGGGGGGGGGGGGGGGGGGGGGGGGGGGGGGGGGGGGGGGGGGGGGGGGGGGGGGGGGGGGGGGGGGGGGGGGGGGGGGGGGGGGGGGGGGGGGGGGGGGGGGGGGGGGGGGGGGGGGGGGGGGGGGGGGGGGGGGGGGGGGGGGGGGGGGGGGGGGGGGGGGGGGGGGGGGGGGGGGGGGGGGGGGGGGGGGGGGGGGGGGGGGGGGGGGGGGGGGGGGGGGGGGGGGGGGGGGGGGGGGGGGGGGGGGGGGGGGGGGGGGGGGGGGGGGGGGGGGGGGGGGGGGGGGGGGGGGGGGGGGGGGGGGGGGGGGGGGGGGGGGGGGGGGGGGGGGGGGGGGGGGGGGGGGGGGGGGGGGGGGGGGGGGGGGGGGGGGGGGGGGGGGGGGGGGGGGGGGGGGGGGGGGGGGGGGGGGGGGGGGGGGGGGGGGGGGGGGGGGGGGGGGGGGGGGGGGGGGGGGGGGGGGGGGGGGGGGGGGGGGGGGGGGGGGGGGGGGGGGGGGGGGGGGGGGGGGGGGGGGGGGGGGGGGGGGGGGGGGGGGGGGGGGGGGGGGGGGGGGGGGGGGGGGGGGGGGGGGGGGGGGGGGGGGGGGGGGGGGGGGGGGGGGGGGGGGGGGGGGGGGGGGGGGGGGGGGGGGGGGGGGGGGGGGGGGGGGGGGGGGGGGGGGGGGGGGGGGGGGGGGGGGGGGGGGGGGGGGGGGGGGGGGGGGGGGGGGGGGGGGGGGGGGGGGGGGGGGGGGGGGGGGGGGGGGGGGGGGGGGGGGGGGGGGGGGGGGGGGGGGGGGGGGGGGGGGGGGGGGGGGGGGGGGGGGGGGGGGGGGGGGGGGGGGGGGGGGGGGGGGGGGGGGGGGGGGGGGGGGGGGGGGGGGGGGGGGGGGGGGGGGGGGGGGGGGGGGGGGGGGGGGGGGGGGGGGGGGGGGGGGGGGGGGGGGGGGGGGGGGGGGGGGGGGGGGGGGGGGGGGGGGGGGGGGGGGGGGGGGGGGGGGGGGGGGGGGGGGGGGGGGGGGGGGGGGGGGGGGGGGGGGGGGGGGGGGGGGGGGGGGGGGGGGGGGGGGGGGGGGGGGGGGGGGGGGGGGGGGGGGGGGGGGGGGGGGGGGGGGGGGGGGGGGGGGGGGGGGGGGGGGGGGGGGGGGGGGGGGGGGGGGGGGGGGGGGGGGGGGGGGGGGGGGGGGGGGGGGGGGGGGGGGGGGGGGGGGGGGGGGGGGGGGGGGGGGGGGGGGGGGGGGGGGGGGGGGGGGGGGGGGGGGGGGGGGGGGGGGGGGGGGGGGGGGGGGGGGGGGGGGGGGGGGGGGGGGGGGGGGGGGGGGGGGGGGGGGGGGGGGGGGGGGGGGGGGGGGGGGGGGGGGGGGGGGGGGGGGGGGGGGGGGGGGGGGGGGGGGGGGGGGGGGGGGGGGGGGGGGGGGGGGGGGGGGGGGGGGGGGGGGGGGGGGGGGGGGGGGGGGGGGGGGGGGGGGGGGGGGGGGGGGGGGGGGGGGGGGGGGGGGGGGGGGGGGGGGGGGGGGGGGGGGGGGGGGGGGGGGGGGGGGGGGGGGGGGGGGGGGGGGGGGGGGGGGGGGGGGGGGGGGGGGGGGGGGGGGGGGGGGGGGGGGGGGGGGGGGGGGGGGGGGGGGGGGGGGGGGGGGGGGGGGGGGGGGGGGGGGGGGGGGGGGGGGGGGGGGGGGGGGGGGGGGGGGGGGGGGGGGGGGGGGGGGGGGGGGGGGGGGGGGGGGGGGGGGGGGGGGGGGGGGGGGGGGGGGGGGGGGGGGGGGGGGGGGGGGGGGGGGGGGGGGGGGGGGGGGGGGGGGGGGGGGGGGGGGGGGGGGGGGGGGGGGGGGGGGGGGGGGGGGGGGGGGGGGGGGGGGGGGGGGGAGGGGGGGGGGGGGGGGGGGGGGGGGGGGGGGGGGGGGGGGGGGGTGGGGGGGCCCTG